CCTGTTGACATCTTGTTGAGATTAGACCAACTGATGAGTTTCTTTTGTTTCTCACAAGAGTGCGGGAAATCGTTTGGCGCTTTTCCTTGAAAAGCCATCTCCCAAAACGGCCCAAGCACGATTTTGTCTGGGTGCATTAAAGGGCCCAACACAACGGGGACTTGGTGTGCGACGGAAAACCCATGATGAAGGTGCGTTTTGCAACCAGGATTTGTGCATGTAGAATATTAGTTTTCCAGGTGAACTTAGAGCCTAATGGGCATGGTAAAGGGTTGCTGTCCTGTGAGTTCTGTGGCACCTTTCCCATTTGCCCAGCCGGTTCCGTCCTTCTAACCTCGTGGCGGGTTCCCTGTAGCGGTTTTTCCGTGTAGTCTTTTTCCTGCGCCTTTCGTGCGGGGAAGCCTGAGTTCATTCCATTCCACATTCCCTATGGATTTCGCACCAAGGAAACCTCTCAGTTCTGCGGCTGTTACCAGGTGCCAAACAAAGCGGTCTGTGCCGGCTCAAGCCTAGGGCCTCAAGGGAACGCTGATCCGCTCCGGTCCACGATGCTTGTGCTGTTGCTGTCGCTACTGCCCCTGGCAGACTCTGGAAGCTGCTCTGCCGGCACGGCCTACCTGCAGCTGCAGGGCAACGTGCAACGGGCCGTGCAGATCGGCGGCTGCAGCGCCGTGGCCTCCGAGCTAGGTGCCACAGATGCTTTGTGCTCCGAAACCTGTGGCTACCTTGCTCCTGGCCAATGGCCGTGTGGTGAAGGAGGCCCCTGCGTTTGCGGGGCAACAACCACCGCCACCCCAACCACAACCACCCCAACCACAGCGACCAGAGTGACAACAACCACCACCACCGCAAGCACCACCACAGCAGCAAGCACCACCACAACAACCACGACGACCACCACAACTGCCACAACGACCACCGCTGCCACAACTAGCGTCGGCAGCACTCTTCCCCCGTCTTCCCTTGTTGAGCAGGGGGTTCAGGCCTTGCAGAATTCCAACTCCGCCGGCGTATTTCAGTACGACACCGGCAACGGCTGGCTGGACTCCGACATCTACACATGGCCCGACATGATCGAGGCGGTGCGCGTGATGGCCACCAGCGGTGTGGGCCAGCTGAAGCTGTGGCTGGGAGACTCGGACCACGTCTATGGCCTGGTGAACGTCGCAGCCTTCCTGGCTCAGTGCATGCAGGAGACCATCCAGTACAATGCCTGTGATGAGAACAACTGGAGTGACAAGAGCGTGGTGGCAGAAGCTGGTGGTTCCACCTACTCCTCAACGTCTTCCTGCGGGCAGCTGCACCAGTCCTACCAGGACTACGGGTGCTCAGCGGAGGAAGACGCCCTGGCGGGCGGCCGCATGGCCTGCGAGGTGGACCCCAACATGGAGATGAGGGCCTTCACCCAGGCTGGCTGGTATGGGGCGCCTGCCCGGCTGTTTTGCGCTCCCAGGAGCAAGGTGCCCAAGGCGCCGCGCTGGGACTTCAGCAGCCCCTGGTGCCCGCAAGAAGGCGGTTGGGGGTACGAGCCGCCTTTCGCGGACGAGGTGGAGCTGGGCACCTACTTCGACTATGTGAACTCGGGCGGAGGCTGCAAGGACTACCAGGGCATCAAGACGGGTGGCTGGACCTTTGAGGGCTCTGGCTGTGTGGACGGCGCCTGTCCGGGAGCAGATGCCCCACTCTTCGGACAGCCGGAAGGCCGCACAGACGTAGAGGGCTGCTGCTGGTGGGGCCGAGGGGTCATCCAGACCACGGGCACTTGCAACTTTGGAAAGCTGAACTTCTTCATGGGCAAGCGTGCAGCGGACGAGAACCGCGCCGCAATTTATCCCTCCATTGACTTCTGCAAGAACCCCAACTCCATCTGCGACCCGAGCAGCCCGCCGGAGCTCAAATGGGTCGCAGGCATGTTCTACTGGCTCAATGCCGTGCAGCCATACAATTCAGGAGGCTGGAACTACAAGACCGAGCTGAAGAAGTGGGTTGATGGTGGAATGAAGATGAGTGACACGTCCTTCATCAACGGTGCGTCAGGCATTGTCAACCGTGGCTGCCACAACCCACCAAACTGCGGCACGGGCGAGCTTCATGCTGGCCCCGAGCGAGCCACCAATTTTCAGAAGGTGCTGAAGGCAATGGGATTAATTTGAGAGCTCTGAATTTATTCTGCATGGGAACGCTCTGCTGACAGTCAGATAGGGTGTTCTTGCCAGAGGCCAGAAGATACTTTCACAATCTTTTGTGACTGCATTTACAAAGCGAAGATGCGTCAAATATCTTCAATTCATGTAGCTTCGTACCGCCTAGCTGCATTTTGAGGGAGGGAAGGTGCGAGGAGGCATGTACAGGCAGCAGCGAAGGGGGCGAAGAGGGCTGTGAAGGCACCTCTGCGCCGCAACTCCCTCGCTAGACATGCCATAGGCAGCCTCTTTGCACCTTTCCCGCTGGGAACTGTCCAGCCCTCATTTTTCGTGTTTTTCCCCCTGAAGGTGCTCCT